CTTTTGGAGCTACAACGAGCCATTAAAGGCAGAGAGTGAAATTCAGTGAATACACGTAGTTTACAGAGATGCTGTATGCGAAACCAATGTGAGTTTGGAAAAATGCACAGTATAAATCTATTTTAGTATACCTCAACAATGGAATTATGATCAGTGGAAATGGCCATGACACCTCTCCTTTAAACTTGACAGTTTTTTAACCGGCACCGCCTAGTGGTTAAAGCACGTTATTGCATTTTTTTGTTGAATATGTTATATTTGATGAAAAAAATATTAAGAGTACATACGGGGAAAGTAGAAGGTCAATGATAGAAATATCAAGAACACATTAAAGAATGCTTTAGGTTAACCTGTTTCACGCCTTCCCCCCGGTACCGGGCGGATAAACGCGTCATTTGCAGGAAACAACGTCTAAGGAATCTTAATATTGAATAAAACTATGAATGTGTTATATCCATGTAACGGGAAGAAACTCAGCTAACTGATCTTTTTAATTTTTTTTTTCAAAAAAAACCCACAATGCTAGCACTCAGCCTCTGAATTAGCCTCGATCGAAAAAACGGGACCGACAAAGACACATAAACTCACTCAGAACTCCCTTATTACTTATCCTAGATGCACAACCAAACACTATTTTTTGGTGTCCTGGAGACACTGAATCTAACGGTGCCCACCTCAACACTCAGTGATAAACATTCGCGACGCTATCAACGAAAGCGTACATCATCACATGTGGAGCCAAGAAGCTAAACATATAAATATGGCTTACCTTGGTCAAAAGTGGTCTTCAATGGCATTAAAACGATAAAAAAACGATGCTGCAGTTAATCCATAGGTTCATCCTATGTGTCTGTGCCTTCTTTGAAATTATTTCTGATAATCCATAAGCAATACAACTGCGTTTTAGTTTCCAAACTCCAGAAGGAGACATTCCTCCAGTTTAGTTTCGCTTTCCACACGCGAAGCGGCAACATTTTTTCTTTACAATGTGTGTCTATGTAGGTATCCTCCTTCGATTCTATTGGCTCTAACGGTCACAAGGGTATGTCAACCAACCAGATCGAGCAAGGGGGGCCAGAGATAGGTCAAATCCACCCAAATGACCCCAGATGGCCCAGTTTTTGGCTAAATCTCTCTAAAAAGGTCAAATTTCACTTGTTTTGCATCAATCTTGATACAGGGTACTTATTATATGTTGTACTTTGGATTCCTAAAGCTTTTAGTCTACTAACCCATCATCCAAGGGTAGTTTTCACTATCTGTAAAAAATAATTTTTGGACGGACACTATAATTTACAGTTTTTTACTATGTAAAATCTGAATTTTCTTTAAAATAAAAAACATTTATATTGATTCTGACACTTCTACATCCAACTCACAGGTTTATCATTACTTTGAGAAAAGATTATTAATTTAACCCTTTTAGAAGGGAAGATATGGTCATTTGTTCTGGGAATGTCATTTTCGAGCCTGAGACCTGAAAAACAGGCTCAGAGTGGAACAGGTTAAGGTCTTCTTTTCAATAAGAAAACAGCTTTGGGGGTATTGACGGATACATATTAAGCCTGACAAAGTACTTAAGGTCTAATATATTGCTTTCCTGCAATGTTAACTATGTTGAAGCACTTATTTTAACTGATATTATACACATTAATTATACTCTTATGTATGTAGATAGTATAAGAAATGTGCAGAATTTGACAGTTTAATGGTGGAGGTATACACACATATTGATAGATGTCTTGTAATGCACTGTTGAGGAACCTGTGACCCACGTTTTTCATTCATTGCATAACTACACCGTAGTTGTGTATATGATATGTCAATAAACCTTAGAAAATCATGAAATCTTGAAAGGGATGTGCAAAATAGCCATTATATACAGTCTTTAATTAACTATTAGTAGAGAATAACGAGTAATGAATATACTTTATAGGTATCTGCAGATAAATGTTTAGTCTTCTCAAGCACCAACTATCAAATATCTCAACTGATTGTTGGCACTTGACAATCACCTTTCCCTGAATTTTACTCAGGTGTAACTGAAGTCTGATTTAAGGGTTGTTTAGATTTCACATCATTAATCAGAATCTGCAAAGTAACTAAACTAAATGTAGTGGAGTAAAGATACCAGGTTAACCTTAAAGAAAGCCCTCAGGATTATAAAAAGACCCCATCACCCCAGCCACAAACTGTTCTGTCTGCTGCCGTCTGGCAGGCGGTACCGCAGCATCCGGACTAAAACCACCAGACTCAGGGACAGCTTCATCCCACAGGCCATAAGACTATTAAACACCTGAACTTTGAAACAACATCCATAACATTCATCTGGCTGCTACTTAGAAATTATTTGTCTAATATATCATATTCCAATCACTTGTATATAGACTCTTATTGCACTATTTCACTTTTTACTATTTTTCTTTTTGTATTTACTTGCACTATTTTTTCTGTGTATCTGTTTTATTGGGACCTAAGGGGGGGGGGGGGGGGTAGGACACGTTCGATTCCTGTTTTGAATAGTGTGCCGTTGATGGGTTTCATTCCATTTCAAAGTGCTGTTTGACGCTCGGTGTAAACTTCGCGCACTGCCACTCCTATGGAGCTATTTCAGGGTCATAAGTTTTGATCATTCGAAAAAATACAATTTATTTGAAAGTCCAAGTTTTCATCTGAACTTTGAAAAATACAATGTTGTATTAAAAAAAAAAAAAAGTATTTGAAATAATTTTTCAGGTTGAATATTATTTTGATTCAGTTCAGCAATTTTTTTGAATAACATATGTATTTTCATATTTCACTTTTATACATATTTTGATATTTGAATACTTCTTTTTTTCAGTTTCAGATTTTACGTTTTCAGATTCAAACAATTATTTTTTCAGTTTCAAATCTTTTTTTTTCAGGTTTCAATTATTTTTTCGCCTTCAAATCGTTTTTCGTTTTCAGATCTTTTTTTTTTCGCTTTCAGACTTTTGGCCCTGATATTGCTTCGGGGGGCGGGGCTTACCAAAGAGTAGTTTGTCACCCTGAGTGACAGCCCTCCCTCTGTCATGATGCCTTCATGGATGTTAGGTAGCGCAAGAAATATAACTACACACTTTCTATACACAATACTCCCGTGATTGGTGGTAAACAAAACTGATACCAGCGTCAAAGTTCCGTTAAGCGAGCTGTTGAGCATCGTAGTTGGCAAAAATTGCGGTATAAGAGCAATAAACTGCTAGAATGTGAAATTACGTATCCGCAATGAAGCGTTGTCCTTCCCCACTTCCACGTAGCTCCGTGAACGCAGCATTGTATTGGCTTGTCTTTTTGCGATGGCGTCAGGTCCACCTGCTGGCTCCATGGCTGGCACCAGCGCACAGGTAAGAAATATTAACTTTTTTCCATTCATGGTCTTAGAAGTTATCTAAGACATGATAATAATATTATAGCGACATACATAAAAGGAAGGCAGGCCTTTTGAGGTGGGGAATGAATGTGGCAACGCGGGAAACTAACCATGGCATTGAGGCTACTCGTGTATGCTATTAGCTATTGTCAGTGCAAGTGAATTTCCCTTATGTTGATAGAGTCCAGCTCACGTGTTTCTCAATCTGTCTTTGCCAGAGTGGCGACCGTAATTCATCTGTGGCTGCAGCAGCACACACTTTAATAACCATGCTCACACAGCATCTAAGCCAGGGACAGCTGGAAGGAAGGAAGGAGGACCAGACACTGCCTGGTCCTTCTGTAGAGCAGGAGATGGCCAGGTTTTAGATTTTAATAAATATATATTTGTGTTTATCTACAGGTAAACTGCAAGTTGATATGTCCATTTATGATTATGTGCTAAACAACATTACTTTTTTGTTTAAATAATGCAGATCTTTCCCTGGATTCTTTGTGAAAAAATCGAATCGAAATTGCCTTGGGAAGAGAAAGCTTCCAGCTCTCAAGACCTTTGCAACTGAAGCGAAGAAAAACTGGAGACCCTTTACATTTTATGTTTACCTGTTAAACTTGAATGCAGACAGTACCCCAACCGCATCGGAAGAATTTGCGCTTGCCCAGGCGGGACTGGGCAAAAGACATATATCGATGCCCCTGGACATGAGCCATGAAGAGGTATTGTATAAAGAAAACCATATTTATATAACCTGTGTTCATATTTGAAACTTGGGACTTATTTGTAGAGTTGGTTTGGTTTCAAGAACACCCTATTTTATCGTTTCCTTAGTTCTTCAGTCTCCTGAAAAAGGAATATCCAAAGTTGCAGGCGCTGGATGGAGGATGGCTCCTCTACAAATCAACAGGTGCAAAAAATGTGTCAAATAACATTCATTGTAATACATTTTCATTTAAATATTTAGCTAAAAGCAACTGAAATGATTCAAACAATGTAAATTACAGGAGGTCAGGGTAAACGAAAACTTATAATGATTCCGCCTGACTCGGACGGATACACCGGCACACTCCTCCGCAGTGTCACAGGGGCAGGGAAGAACACCCTGTATATTGTCCCTCTGCAGCATGAATTCGACTTAACACCTTTGCCCGCGGATGCTGTAGAGTTCCAGAATATGCCAAAAGCCCAATGCCAAACATGCAAGTTACATTTTCCTCTGCAAATGTTGGCTCTGCATGTCCAGGAGTGTATGGAGGAGTGTCTATCATCGGAAGAAGACATTGAGGTAAATGTGGGCATGAAATATATGTAATGTTGCATTTTAATAGTACAACTTGCTTTAAATATTTTTTTATTCAGTGAGTTATAACATGTGTTGGTAATATTTTGTGTTTGTTAGACAACAAGTGAGGTGGAAATTGTTTCGGTCGTGCACCCTGTGCAAAACCATACAGAGAAATCTCTTGAAGAGGTAAAGGACTTAATTGTATTGTATTGCATTGCACTGTAAAATTGCCTATATAAACTTGATACAGCTGCTAATATTTAAACTTTTACCTCCATCAGAAGGTGCCATGTCCCATCTGCTTCGAGAGCTTCACACCAGTTTTTAGAAATACATGCAAGCATGTGTGGAGAAAGGTATTTTAGAGCGAGTACATTAAGGTTCATTTTACATCTCCTTTGCACTTTGTTAGAGATCAACATGTCCGTCTGGATGAGAAAACTGACATGGGCCACAACGATGGAAAGGCAATGGAGAGGCAATTCGAAAGGTGCTGGGTTCTTCATTCTGCTTGGATCTTCATTCTAAAAAAGCTCTTTATTCAATATCAGTAGTTTACGCCTGTTAATTATGAGTTTTGTTTGGCAGTGTTGATGACGTATTGGACACAATCTCTGGAAGAGTAGACGTAGAGAAACGTTTCAATATACAAATCTCACGAACAAACATTCTCGAAAGAGGCCTTCTACAGTGGCAGCGTCAAAAAGGCAGTTCACCCACAGCTACCCTGAACGTGACCTTCTTTGGGGAGGCAGGAGTCGACACAGGAGCCCTCCGAAAAGAATTTCTCACAGGTAAACAAAAACAACAATTTTTGCATTCTTACATTTGACTCTTAATTAAAATAGTCTAGATTTATGGATAATGTCTGTGAAACTTTGGTTGAAGGGCTGATTAACAAAGACTCATGACATTCTTTTTCTTTTAGTCTTTGTTATACTACTTATCCTTTTTTGTATTTAAACGGGGTTAGACATTAATAAAATACTTGTAAAATAGTATCCTGATTATTAAAGTAAATGGTCTTTGTACTTGTGTGTAGAAGTGGTGGCAGGAATTGAGGGTCGTTTCTTTGAAGGACCTCAACAGCAGCGGATCCCACGGTACTCTCTGAATGACTTAGACAGTGACCTCTACAGGTTTGTTTACTTTTAAGCATGTACAGTAAGGACCAACTGTTCATTTTTGATAAATGTTATATAACATAAAAAATGTATTCATGCTCAATCTGTGTTAATAGGACAGTGGGAGAGATTTTGGCTGTTAGTTTGGCACAAGGTGGCCCCGCCCCTGCCTTCTTCAGCCCATGGACTTACAGTTACCTCTGTAGTGGACGTATAAACCAGAAGGTTCTCAACAGTGATTCAGTGGCAGATGTCCAGCTGAGAGAGTTAATTGACCAGGTATGAGTTCTATATTATGTAAATGCTGGGTTAATAAGAAATAAGCATTTATTTTCCAATTATAGTCATAGGTTTATATTGAATATGGTAAAGAGATGTACTTCTCGGTTTTCAGGTTGAGTCGGCGACTGAGCATTCAATTATAGGCCTATCTGATGAAATATTGAATTGTGGATATACTGGAAATGTCTCCATTCCAAACAAGGACACCATTGTTCGGTATGCTTGACACTTATTTATTTTTGTATATTAAAAGATGTTACACGAGTACCTTTTATTAAGGATTGCATTTACTTTGTAATTTTGTAGTTCCATCATACTCCACGCAGTGCTGCGGCTGCAGCCTATGTTGGAACAACTAAGGGAAGGCTTGCAGCTGTATGGACTCCTTTCACTGATGAGTCAGTACCCAGATATCTGCCAGCCCTTGTTTGTTTCTGGGGAAGATGTAAAAGTGAGCAGAACAAAAGAGACCATTCTTTACAATTTGATATTAAAGTTAAGGAGTAAAGAGTACATAATTTATATCTGGATTTGTTCTCATCATAGGTCAATGCAGAGTTTGTCATGACATCCATTCTTCCTCAACTGAGTGACAAAGGGACTACCAGGCATCAGGTTGAGCTGGAGATGATGAACTTCATTCAGGACTTCCTATATGAAGGTATAAAGTTTTTGATTTACTTCTAATGAAGATTTAAATGTAAGTTGTTTTAAATTACAAAAGTTGGGTTTTTAAATTTGAAGGCATTGGGCTTGGAAAAACATTAAAATGTCCTTGAATTTAATGTTTAAGATGTTGTAGGAATCCTGAATTACACAAACTTGATTACCTTTTTTTGGATCAGACGTTCTGTGGTTAAAATACCTCAGTACAATTCACTTGCACTAAAGGAAAACTACACTTTAAACTGTCATAACGGTTTTTGTTTATTTTCCTCATAGCTGAAGATCATGGGCATGTAGATAAAGATGGCCTACATCCCATCACACCTGCAACGTTTCTGCAGTGGATCACAGGCCAGGGTCACGTCCCACTTCTTCCCTCAGAGAAGAAGGACTTTGCAGTTGTGATCCAATTCAATCATGACTGCAGTGCAGACTTTGGGCATCACAGTGTCTGTTACCCTGTTGTGACAGCATGTGCCAAGACAATCACCTTACCTGTGAGACATATGAGGCCCTATGAAAAATTCAAAAACATCCTGACTGAAGCGTTTCAATTAGGCCAAGAATTTAGCAATGTGTAATAAGGTAACCATTAACGACCTCTGTTCCAAGTTAACCTTACTGTTTAAGTGTTAAAGGTTTAGCATTGACTGCTTCCAGTCAAGTAATCTTAAAAAAAAATGTAATGGCAGCAATAGAGTGGTGCAGTGATGACGTGTTTTTGTAGGCTGACCCGGAAGTAAGCTGCAAGGGTTCCCTCAACAAAAAAGCAGTGGGATTTCTCCATACTGTAGGATATCCCATTGCTTTTTGTCGAGGGAACCCTTGCAGCTTACTTCCGGGTCGAACTACACAAATACGTCATCACTGCACCACTCAGTTAAACATTTCTTAAAGAAAAACAAACAAATTGATATAATGTTGTAACATGTTGCTACCCAGAACTGTGATATGGAAAATGTTAAGGGTGTAAAGGTGTTGATGTCTAAATGGTTAAACCCTTGAAACATGTTTGCATTTAGGATGCATGATTTAGTACATGGTTCAATACAGCTAAATAAATGTCTCGGCCGTAGGACCCAGATGGTCTTGTAACATCAATATTGGCCAAAAGTCCTGCCATATCCTGCTCACTGAGGGGACTTTCAACAGGTGGAAGAATCACTCCAGAACTGGTCTCATCTGGCTCACTGGCAGTGTTGAAATCAAGATCTGCATCCTCCATTTCCTTGATAAAAATTAAATATCAGTCATGGATTTTAGGGGACCAAGAATAACTTTAAGCACCACAAACACTAGAGAATGTAAAGAATAAAAACGAAACACTTTTTTGCCTTTTCAACGGTACACCTATCAAAAGAGGTGATTTTGAGGTCTTACAAAATGCATTTCAAGTGCAGTCTCATGCTTTGCATTTTACATTAGTAAGCAAGTTTTATGCAATTTTAAAGAAAAATATCTATCTTTCATTTATTTGATGCTAGTGATTGTAAATTCCATTGAAACATGACAAATATAATTTTTACCTAGCCCAAAGGTTCAATACTAATGTAATGAACAGCGAAGTGCCAATGCCAATTTCTTTCATAATATAAGTTTAATGGAGTTCCTTTAATTTTGTTAAGCTGTTTTAAGCACAATACTTTGGTCTAATATATTTTAGTTGAAATAGTTTGAGAACACTGGCCAAAATTATGTTGATACAATTTTGCTTGAAATAAACATGTAATGAGTACCTCTGCAAGGTCTGGAACATCAATAGGATTATGGAGGAGTCCCATTGTCCACAGTTGGTGTGGGGACAAATTTCGCTCTGTCCTTAGAGGGTGATTATCCCAACCCATCCTGAAGACATTGAGATCCCTCTGAAGACGCGGAAGAAATACATGCTGGGCACAGAACAGGTGGATGCTATCAGAAGGATCTAGAACACCCTCATCCTCGAGGCTGTGAAGAACCTCGTAGTGCACGTTTGAAACAGCCATCCAAACATCTTGCCACAAACGTTCGATTCTGTTAAAATAAAAATCATCAAATTACACTCAAATTGGACAAAGCACAGTATATTCACAAATGATGGCTTTGTGTTTGTCATTGTTTGACATTACTTCAAAAAATGTACCTTTGATTGTGCACACTTTTCCCTGACATGAAGCTTCCCCTTCCACAGCCCCTTATAGTGAACATGCATCGCGCTATGCCAACATTTTCCACTCCTTGGTCGGCTCTTACTCTTAAAAAGATGAATCACACACATGAAATAAAACATTACAAAAAGTTATGACATGGAATTTTTAAGATTTCTTAATGTAGAAGAAAATAGGCAAGTTATTTTTATTATTGTCGTTTTTTAAAGACAGGTCAAAAATGAATATGTAATGGTATAATGCAAATAATCCTAAACATGGTTTGTTTGGAGAGACAGAAGGTGACTTAGTCATCAAGTATTCTATACGATATATTTTATCATCAATAGGGCTTTGGACAGATTGAGGTTGGTTTCACTCAGATTTATTTCGAGAGTCGTACTTACTTCCTGACTCGGTTGTGAATAATTCTTGGGTCATTTCAGTGATCAAAACATTGATCATTGTAAGTGTTATACAAACCATTATGCATCTTTTAATGACAGATAAGGCCCAAATTAGAGTACCACAGGGAGCCACACCTAATGTTGGCCTTACCTTAATGGAAAGCCATACTTTTGCACACCCTCCAAGAAGAAGTCAAGTGAAGTCGATGCTTTATTATTAGTGGCAGCACCCAGGTACATGATCTGCAGCAGAGAAAATTATTAAGCAGAATAAATAAAAGCAGATCTCTAAATGTGTTTAAAAACCAACACCAGACATTCTTGCTACAAGGTTTAAGATGGATACAAACTAAAAATATAGATACTTTGAAAGGAACTGTAAATCATGCAGCAGGTTTAGTTATTGACCAATAACTGTCATTATCTGACTTATAAATAATCGTTATTTGTGAAAACAAACTTACCTTCCGTGAGAAGCCATCAATCCCTCCAAAAATAACAAGACCATATCTTTGAAAAACAACACAAAATCACTTTTAGTGTCTGTTATTTCTTATGTAAACAACTGTGACAGGGCATTTTAAAACATAACTTTTTTAATTTGTACTCCATTATCCTTTATTGTACATAGCATGTAAACATCAAATGTGTGGCGTACCTGATGAGTTTATGATTTGTGTCGATGTGTACCAAGTGCAGAGGACCCTGAACAGAATATGTCCTTCTTGCAACACACCCCATCCTTGCCATTCTTGTGAGTACACCCACAGAATCAACACGATGCATTGATGAAGACACTCTCTTCCATTGCACACGGTGACCCATGCCCTTCAGGATTCCTTTCATCATTCGATATCCTACATGTGGTGTCCTGGCCTTAACTGACCGAACCAAATTGTCTAGTTCATCATCAGTTAGGGTACTGTAGGACTGTTTTATGGAAAGGCCATTTTCATGCATGCGCCTTTTGACTGTCTTCTCAGATACACCCAGAAGTTTTGCTATGGCCGACACTGGTAGGGACAAGTCTTCTATTAAGCCTTGTAGTTGCTGAGGACAGACAACATATTTTGGTCGTCCCATTTCTCCTTGCATTACTGGCACCTGATGAGGGGTCTGATTAGAGATGTCTTCAATATTAACGAGCCTTGACAGCTCAGTCAAAGCATTGATGACATCCTGTGGCATATCAACCTGGCCTGATAGCAACCTAAAAAGAGCCATCTCCTGGTCCACTGCAAACTGCAAATAGTCAACATCTAACGGCAGTCTTTGCGTGATCTGGGAAATTCTATTCAGTAGTCTCTGAAGAAAGTCCCTTTTCAGTTGCTCCTAGAAAAGACAGACATCAATTTACCTTATTGCACTGGATTAGTTCATGTTCAAATAATAAACAGCATGAAAAATATCGTTAAGGACATGTGCAAAGAAAATGACTGCAACAATTATGCTTTGTAAACAAACTCTATAAAATAGGTGATAAAATCAAAACATAATGTAAGTTATTACCAATCATTTTAAAATAATCATTTAAAGAGAGGTGCTGTGTGAGCACGGTTATTAAAGTGTGTGCTGCTGCAGCCACAGATGAATTACGGTCGCCACTCTGGCAAAAACAGATTGAGAAACACGTGAGCTGGACTCTATCAACATAAGGGAAATTCACTTGCACTGACTATAGCTAATAGCATACACGAGTAGCCTCAATGCCATGGTTAGTTTCCCGCGTTGCCACATTCATTCCCCACCTCAAAAGGCCTGCCTTCCTTTTATGTATGTCGCTATAATATTATTATCATGTCTTAGATAACTTCTAAGACCATGAATGGAAAAAAGTTAATATTTCTTACCTGTGCGCTGGTGCCAGCCATGGAGCCAGCAGGTGGACCTGACGCCATCGCAAAATCCCAGCCAATACTATGCTGCGTTCACGGAGCTACGTGGAAGTGGGGAAGGACAACGCTTCATTGCGGATACGTAATTTCACATTCGAGCACAGTTTATTGCTCTTATACCGCAATTTTTGCCAACTACGATGCTCAACAGCTCGCTTAACGGTACTTTGACGCTGGTATCAGTTTTGTTTACCACCAATCACGGGAGTATTGTGTATAGAAAGTGTGTAGTTATATTTCTTGCGCTACCTAACATCCATGAAGGCATCATGACAGAGGGAGGGCTGTCACTCAGGGTGACAAACTACTCTTTGGTAGGCCCCGCCCCCCCGAAGCAATATCAGGGCCAAAGTCTGAAAGCGAAAAAAAAGATCTGAAAACGAAAAAACGATTTGAAGGCGAAAAAAATAATTGAAACCTGAAAAAAAAAGATTTGAAACTGAAAAAATAATTGTTTTGAATCTGAAAACGTAAAATCTGAAACTGAAAAAAAGAAGTATTCAAATATCAAAATATGTATAAAAGTGAAATATGAAAATACATATGTTATTATTCAAAAAAATTGCTGAACTGAATCAAAATAATATTCAACCTGAAAAATTATTTCAAATACTTTTTTTTTTTTTGAATACAACATTGTATTTTTCAAAGTTCAGATGAAAACTTGGACTTTCAAATAAATTGTATTTTTTCGAATGATCAAAACTTATGACCCTGAAATAGCTCCATACACTCCAACATCCAATCACAGAGCTTGAAGACTAATCACGGGGTTTGTCAAGCAAAGCACATGGTGTAGTCCCAAACGTTAGCTGAAGATTCTGGGTAGTGTAGTGTCTTCTGCCATCCTAAACTCCGAAAAAATATTTGTTTCTCCGAATCGAAGGGGAAAAATACAAAAGTATTGAACACAATTTAAACCAATCAATGTTGTGTAATTAACAAGGATAATCTGGTGTTTTTGAGTTGATGAGTAGTGCAGATATCACTGTAAAATTAATCGACAGTAAAGAGAATACTTACTTCCGGGTGTAAAATCCTCCGTTATCCAATGGGAATGGACGCTCACATTGCCTTTGAGACTGTGTTGAAATTACACCCTCGCCTACTGATTTTAATTTAACCATATATCGAGCCCGATCGTCGATTTCAAATGTGTGCTCTAAAATGATATTTATAAATTACTATTATCATTATTATAAGCAAGACAATAAATGGCAAAGATATGTAGAAAATAACCGTATTTAAGATACGTTCATAACAAACGTAACGTGGGAGAAAATATGTTTCTAGCT